TATATATATATATATATATATATATATATATATATATATATATATATATATATATATATATATATATATATATATATATATATATATATATATATATATATATTCATATAGTAGAGTAACACTTTATAATTAGTAACTCTCTTATAGACCTGGCAAAATAATGCCAAAAAAATATTTAATTGAAGCTACGTATTATCATTATCTCGCTCAAGGCCACCGACTTGCCCGGCGAAATACTATCGTACGAAAAAATCATAGTGGCATGGAACGTGTTAAATAATTTGTTAGGACAAATTTGTTTGTTTATTTTTCACCTGTGCGATAGTTTAACACAAAATTATAAATATACGATATGCGTTTGTGTACAACATTGATAAAATGTCATTGAACCCTTGATTATAAGACTAGATGTCATCCGCAACTCCGTCCGCGCGGTATATAAAAAACCTATGTGTTCTTCCATATTATGTTCTACATCTATGCCAAATTTCAGCAAGATCCATGCACTGTATGAATTACCTTCAAACAAACATCCATCCAAACATTCGCATTTATAATATTAGTAAGATTGCATCAATATTAATACCAAGGAGTTCGATAACATATGTAGTAAAACCTTTTTGTTTGCTTCTTTCTTCGTTTACTACGCGAGTGATTCAAAGAGAAGATAATTTAAAAAAAAATCTCATCTTTATAAAGTAAGTCAACTTATTTTACGTTGTTCTCATTTATTAAGTTTATTTTGATGTGTCAATGTTGACTTTGATTTTATAAAATAAATATAAAATGAACGCGTTATTAAAATAACTATGAGTCAAAGAACACGTGTTGACAATTATTATATTAATCATGAGTTATATTAGAAATGAAGAAAGAAATTTGTTTAAAACAGCAGGAGTTAATTCGGCTTGTGGTGTGGTTCCAGTAGCGTGGTGCCCAGGTTCTTAATGAACCTTTTGATGGGGATTCGGGATATAATCAGAAAAAAAAAAACATTTGGATAATATTAGAGGAACCTACCTAGGTGAAAAATGCAAAATAAACATCAAAATATCTTTTCGTATGATAATCTGTAGTCTATATAATTTTGTATAGACCATAGTTTTATAACATTACTTGCTTTCGCCCGCGGCTCCGTCTTCGCGGTATTAAAAAATTCTTAATAAGTAGCGTACTTGTTCTTCCAGACTACGTTCTACATCTATGCCAAATTTCATCGAGATCGTTCAGCATCACTCTGAAGGTCCTAAATTGATCATTGGACCCTTTAAGGACTATTAGTAAAGATTCATAATGAGAACAATTTACTAGTAGAATTGGTAGACTATATTTTTTTTATTATTTATATAAGCTAGATTTTTTCTGCAAAACATAACTAGATAAAATTCATATATATTTAGTTCTCTATCAGTAACATTGTGCTTGTTTTAATATTATATTATTTGTACTGTTTATTTGATAATATTAGTTTTGCGATCTTATCAGTTTGATAAAGCGCGGTGGCGTGTTCCCGAAATGTCTGACACCGATTGTTATTTGATTTCACTGGTGGGCTTACATTGATGAAACGCGTGTATAACAACATATTGTTGTCTCTCTCGTATTCCATAAAGAAAAAAGTGAACTATATGTCATTGTACTGGTCTTTCGGTTAGGAAAGTGACGTTTTTCTTACTAATATTATAAAAGCGAATGTTTAGACAGATGGATGGATGTTTGTTTGAAGGTATCTCCGGAACGGCTCAACGGATCTTGATGAAATTTGGCACACAAGTAGAACATATAGGCTTATTTAGTTTGTTTTAAATTCCGCGCGCACGGAATCGCGGGCGACAGCTAGCATTAAGATATTTAATCGACATTGATAATGTTTTGGAACATCACTAAACATCAAGGTAATATTTCGCGAGGTAATTTCGGGTGTCGTTGTTACCTCGATGTTGTTTGTCTTACTTTTACCTTGGAAATTATAATGAATGGATATAAGAATATTTAAACCGTTATATTGTATAAATATTATTAGAATAAATTACAAACATT